GCAATTCTTAAAAAGGAAACCAGCCATTTTAGTGGGACAACCTTAAATAGTAAGGTAGCCTATTGAATTGGGACAGAGGAAGTATATAGCAAGTGAATGAAGTATGTAAGGATAAGGTAATTGTTATTTTTTTCGTGATTATTTTTATTTATTTATGTTTTTTAAATACTTAGGAAGCACAATGTGCTAGGTGATTTTTTTAAAAAAAACCAAATTTTAGTTCAGGAGTATTAGAATTGATCAAATAATTTGCAATGTACCTGTAGGTCTGTTGAGTCAGGCTCATTCCACCGCAACTTATACTATTGTCTTGATTCGGGCAAGAACCAACCCTGCATCCCACACAAGCTCCCAAAATAAAAATTCAACTCCTTCTAGCTCCCACAACAAGCTGAAAACTTGTCTTCAAATCCAAGATTTTATGCATTGGATAACCCTGACAGGCAAGCACTATAGTACTCAGCATAAATAATCAGCACTTCTGGATATTCCTTCTTGAATTCTTCAAGGACTGCTTTGTGACGAGTAGCATCATTTTTCAATTCCACCATATAACGGTTAGAATCATAAAATAATGGACTGCTTTCCTTGTGGTGGAAGAAACTCAGAAACAACAAGACAACCACGTGGGAGATTTCCAAGAACTCTTGTTGGGCCAAGCCCAATAACTATTCTAGAAGTTTGTGCAATATGTTGGACCACTTCCGGAGCAAAAACATCTCACTCCGCATCTTCAAGACCAAAGAGCCCATAACTGCAGTCCTTTGCTCCGATATCTCCTAGAAAAACAAAGAGTTTTTCAACATGGCATGATTCTTTGCTTTAACAAGTTGGTTTAAATGAGATGACAACCACTCCAACTGCACGCCGATTGAAATTTCGTGGTGAAGCGAAGATGAAGTCCTTTGGCTGAGAGCTAACCCTCAAAGGTTTCACCGCAAAGTTGAAGACCATTAGCTTGTAAGGTCTCAACTGGTAAAGCAGTGGCACCCGTGACAACAAAGTTGGTTCCATGATCAAAATTCACCCCCTCAACTCCTCTCTCGTACGGATTAAGTGTTGGTACACCAAATGCCGAGGCAAAATACTCAATCATTAGAAGGCCATTATAGGGTATACTAGTTGTTTTGTCAAGGGTAATCCTGTAAGAAAACTTGTTGAATAAACTTTCAGGGACTTTCGGGAATGTTGAATAAACTTTCCAGGAACTTGCAATTATTAATGGGGACAACGTTAACATGATCATCACATTGTAATTTTTAGGCACAACTAAGATATGGTTGTAGAATAAGCAAAAACACCAACATAATAGAACCAGGGGAAAGCTTGTTCTTTGTACTAGCCAAGTTTATGCGTGAAGACAGTGACGGAACTAGAACTTTCATGTTAGAGGGCAGAAAAAAATTCACACTTATTGAAGAAGAATATTTTTTACATTTAACAAAAGAAAATAATAATAGAAAAACAATGTTCACAGACAATTTATACAAAGAAACATTCCTAGATGATTAAAAAAAACCAATAAAAAAATACAAGTAAAAAATAATTATGAAAAACAGCTCCTTCGTCCATAGCAAATTAGTGAGCTCAATTAATATTTATATTCTCCTAAAAAAATGACAGAAACAATCAAGAAAAAGTAAGGGACAAAAAAGAAAAAAGGAATCTTAGCCATTACCCACTAGAAAATGTTTTAATGCAAAAAAAGACTTTTTACTTTCTAAGGAACAAGATCAAAAAAATCAGTCAAACCCACCAAGTGAAAACAAGATTAAAATTTATAACATAATCCACAAAACGACATAATAAATTATTTCACTAAACCCGAGATTAAAGAAATACAAAAAATCGAAATAAGAAAAGAAAACAACGATACAATTTTTGCTATTTCTAAATGACATTTGCTTTTTCTCCCTCCAACTTATGTGTATCCCAATCTTCAATTATACAAAACATGTGCTACAAGTTTGCAAAATCTATGATTCCTTATCGATCCTCGCTTTCATGGAAGTCCCATCCCTACTCACTGATTCAGTGGATTACTCAAGTTCATACAGTAAAACATCAATAAACTAATACACTTGGGTTTCTAAAAATTTATTAATTATCGATAAATTAATAATTATTGGTGCATGCCGAGTTCACCAAAAATATTACTAGCTTGGATTATGATTTTTGTAGATAATGGAAGCTAGGTCGATCCCACGAAGATAGCTAATTACCAAATTTGTTGTAAAGAAAGACTACCAGTCAGACAAGGTGTCACTCAGGGGAATGGAAACAGTCACTCAGGGGAATGAAAGGCAGGGGTGTTCTTCTCCTCTTCCTACTGTTGTAGTTGTTTTATTAGCATTGTAATGATTGAGTTCTTGTTCATTCAGCTCACTTATAACTCTAAGTCAGTTCCCATTTTTCCTAGAGTCATCTTTGCAACCTTAACAATATATTTTCCAATGATTGATTCCAGATACAAAGTCATTAACTTCTTAGGCCTTCAAGAATGCTTATGTCAACTAAGTATATTCCTATCTTAGTTAAAACCATAGACTGTTACCTCTATGTCATAAGTTAAAGTTGAAACAATCCAAACCAAGTTTATCTTTCCAGATCTCCCTTAGTTCTAGCATGCATTCAATTTAGTGATCAAGTAAATGAATGTAGAAAAACTTTCAACTTCAAAACAAGGAACAAAACCAGTGGATTAAACAACTATAACATAGGTTGAGGAGAATAACCCCTGGAAATTGTTTAGCTACTCATACAGATTAATGCTACATCTACTACACCAAAAGACATCATAGAAGTATGCATAATAAACAAAGTTCAAGCTAGCAGTCAAGAGACGAGAAAAAAGCTTGTGTAGTTTCTGAGCCACTCCTGGGAGTGAAAGGGTTCACTCATGGAACTGAAGCAGAAACTGGGATGGCTATTCTCCAACTTGGCTTCCTTACTGAGATGTTGTTGCTTCCTCTTCCTTCTTGCCTTCTACCTAGAGTTTTTCTGTGTATGTTTTGCAACTGAAAGGGTAACCAAAAAAGATTTTTTTTTTTCTGAGAGTGAAGTTCCCCTTTTTATAGGGTCTTGCAGCCGGTTCTTTTCATCATGAGAGCCATCCCATGCTTGTAATTTTTTTAATCCTCCCAATGCCTTGAGCCTGGAATTCAAACTTGGCTGCTCTTCTTCTCTTCTTCCAGAAGTGGCAGCATTGCTCTCATTGATCAGCAGGGGAGGCTGAAATTTCGGCTGGGGGACAAGCATGCCTCATGGAGGAGACATACTCATTAATGGCAAGATGCTCCTTATCTAAGGAGGTGCTTCTTCGTCTAGCTCAGCAACATTGCCTCAGCAGCCCACAATTTATTCCCTTGGCCTCACTTTTTCAGCAATTTTGCAGTCAAACCCCAACCTAACAAAAATATGAAAACTAGTTAAGGAGAATGCACTAATAATAGAAAATACCCCCCAATTTCTTACTAAATTCAGAGTTAATTGTGATGCTTTTATGTAACAAATAAACTATTATCAATTATCTATTTATATTTAAATTAATATTCTATGAATTTGAAGAGTTTTTTGAATCCTATAAGTAAGACAATACAAAAAGTTAATGTACTATTTTTACACCAAGAAAAGTCTGTTGTAGCCCTAGCCATAAAATTATAATTTTTCTAATATAACCAAAACATGATAATTGCAAACAAAAACAAAACTACCTAAGTTAAATCCATATTAATCTTCCAATCTAATTTATTATTAAGGTATTTATTAATGTATGAAATTATGGAGGCCTTCATTTACATAGGAGATTCTTGAAAAATTATTATCTTATAAATTAATCAAATTTATTTATTTTTTATACTAGCACCGAGGTTGAAGGGGAGAAAGATATTATTTAATAGAGATTATCATTTAATAGGTGATTAACTTAGGGAGATTTTAAAACTTGAATAATATTTAGCACTAATATTTAACTTTCACTAGAACATATTTTTTCTCTCTCTCTTCTCTCTTCTCTCGGTGCATGTTAAGAGTTCGCGACTAACTTGCGCCTTCCATGGTGAAACGGAGAGTGAAGAGCAAGGGAGTGGTCAAAATGGTACAAGGGGACAAGGATGTGAAGGGGTGAAGATCACCTGTGATATAATTTTGTGCCACTTCCTGTTACATTTAACAAGGAATTGACACGTGTCTTTCTTTTCCCCTCTGCGCAAAACTCTGTCTATAAACTCATTAACCACGGTTAACTAGACTCTAAAAAATTAAAGAAAGGAACACCAAAAAACCTTCTCCTTTCCGGTCGCTCTATCTAAATTCTAGAATTCTCCTCCAGTAAGATGCCGACATATGAATGACAAGGGTTAAAACTATTCTCTATTATTGTTGATCTCTGAAGCTAAATTTTGGTGTGTGGGGGATCTTTGCAAAGTTTTTACGAAATTGTTGTTTCGAAATTGAGCAACGGCGATGCCGGCGACTGCGATGACAATGGCGACTGCAATGTCCACCACTTGAGATTGCATTTTGCAGAAATAACAAAGCCATCATGACCCACGCCTAATTGAAAATTTTAATTTTCAAGCGCTTTAGAAGATTTAATTTTCAATCCAAACATTCAAAAATCGTCCTTTATTCCCATTTATTCTCATCGTCGTCACGGTCACCGGCATCGCCGCTGCTCAACTCCAAGACAACACACCCTGAACAAAACCCAATTTTAAGTCTTCCGATACACTAAAATACATTTGAATTTCAGAAGTCGGCAATATCGAGAATTGATCCAGGCACTTATGATTTACTCTTTTTCATCTTACCGGAGAAGAATCGGAGAAATCATGTCGGATTGGAAAAAGCCCTTTATTGTGTTTCCTTTTTTTTGTAAATTAATATGTTTCCTAAATAATAAACCATGGTTAACCAGTTTATAGGAAGAGTTTTACGTAGCAAAAAGAAAACACACGTGTCAACTTCTGGTTGAATGTAACAGGAAGTGGCACAAAATTATGTCACAGGTGATCTCCACCCGATGTGAAGGGTAACAACATCTCACCGATTGAATTAGCCACAAATCATTCGGGAAAAGTGAATTTCAAATTAGGGAAAGTTCTTTTAGGGTTAGGGTGAGGGCTGATGAACCAAAATCGGGGCTGGAAAATGATAAGAACAGTGGAAAAGAGGAACTCCAGGATCATGCAAAGAAGCTGAGTGAGATTCTTGGCATTAATCCATCACGTAAATTGGAATGGCCAAGATTTGAAGAGAAGGAGACGACATCGTGCTGCGATTCGGATATAGTGAAGAGGCTCAAGAAGGGTGGTGTGCCCCTAGACTATATCGAACCTGAGGTGAAAGATGGATTCCAGGTTGCATTGGTGCTACAAAGGGACGTACAAAGCGAATTGGACTATTGGCAACCATCCATCCTCATCTTTGTTCTTGGTGCTAATCCTCCTTACGAGGTAATGAATTCATTTTATCGGCGTATTTGGAAGCATTTGAATGGTGATAAAGTTATTCTTCTTCCAACTAGACTGTTTGTTATCCATTTTAAAACTATGGAGGATAGAGATGAGGCATTATCTGATCCAATTAATGACTTAGGTGCTAATCCAGTAATTTTGAAACCTTAGAAAGTAAAAATGGGTTCTAGTTATAAAGAGGTAAAGCATGTTCCGGTTTAGGTTCAGTTTCCAGGTTTAGAACTGAAGTTTTAGAATCCGGCTACACTTAGTCGAATTGCCAGCACTTTGGGGCAACCTATAGCTACAGATGCTTTAACTGCCACGAGAGACAGGGCTGCTTTTGCAAGGGTGTTGATAGATGTTGAAATAAGAGATAAGCCACCTCTGATAGCCCATTTTGTTGATGAGACTAGAAATTTGATAGAGCAGAGGGTTTATTATGAATGGCGGCCTACTCAGTGCAAGAGCTGCTGTTATTTTGGTCATGGGAAAGAAGACTGTCGAAGGAAGACTAAAGTATCAGAACCTGTGAAACCAAGGAAAGAGGATCAACTTAAAGAGAAACGTGTTTCTGAGTGGAGGATAGTAACAAAGAAGGGCATAGTTAGGGATACTGTGAATGATGATCAACTGGTACTACCACAAAAGGAGGTTGCTGTAAATCAGAACCTCTTCACTGAAGGAGCTTGTGATACTAGTGGGAAAGGTGCCAATCTATGTTACCCGGACTCGGCCCTTTGGGGTAGAATACCCGTGTCGACACGACATGACACGGGTGCGGGTGTGAGATCCGTACAGGATCTGATTTCGTCGGTCAAGACGTGTTGACCAGATGGGAGGATTTTTAATTTTTTTTTCGCTTTTTGGGGAAGGTAAGTCCCAAAAATTTGGCAGACCACCTCTGCAAAATTGTTCCGCCGCCAGTCTGGATGTTGACGAAGAAGGCAGAAAACTTCGACGGACTGGGCTTCTTTTTATTTTAAATTGGGGTCTTTCTCTTCAAAGTTAAAGAAAAGCCCACTGGCCTATGAATCCAATTTGGTCCAATGTGCTCTTTTTTTATATTCCATAAAACCATGCTATCTTTTTCTCTCAGCCCAAATCCCATATAATAAAATTATTAATATAAGAGCTTAAACTTTCATTTAATTAAAACTTAACTCCCTTATTTCTTAGATTAATTGTGAAAGTATATGAATTTTGGATGATAATAATCATCACCTTCCTAATTTTTCATCCAACTTCAAATTATTTATAACTGGGTACTCTAATTATCAATATTTGAATTAATTTTAAGAAGGATCCCCGTACCCGTACTCGTACCCGTGTCTAAATCCGTACCCTCGTATCCTAATTTTGCAAAGTTTACGAGTCCGACACTTAGATCTCGTATCGTATCCGACACTCGTACCCGAGTCCGGGTAACACAGGTGCCAATAGCTTCTCAGTATTAGATATGAATGAAGATGTTGTATTACCTGAGGAAGCAGAATTAACAAATAGAATGACCAGGCAAGTAGGGGCAATGCAGCAGCAGGGACAGGCTAGGAGTGATAATCCTCTGGACCCTGGTATAAATCCATGACAAGTCTACTACACTGGAACATACGGGGCTTGAACAGCCTTGTAAAGCAGAAGGAGGTAAAAAGAATTAGTTCCAAATTCAATACAAGTTTAATTTGTGTAGTTGAAGTTAAATTAGAAGCTACTAAAATAGAAGTGGGGTGGTTATGAATGGTGCTGCAACTGTCTGACCAATGAAAAAGGCAGGATTATCTTGATATGGGATCAGGGAAGTGTGAATGTTGCTGTCTTAAAGAGGGATAAACAGTTCATTCATTGCTGATTAGATCAAAGGGACAAACAATATGGTTACTTTCTAGCTGCTATCTATGCTTCCAATAGGCAGAAAGAAAGGAATCAACTGTGGGAAGAGTTGATTAACTTGGCTAGTGGACTGAGTAGAAGCTAGTTGGCAATAGGGGATTATAACAACGTAATGAATACTTATGAAAGAATAGGCGGAAATCCTGTAGCATTAATTGAAATGCAAGGAATGAGAAGATGTGTTGAAATGAGTGAGCTTCAAGACCTCAAACAACAAGGCCTTAGATTCACTTGGTCTAACAAACACGTTGGTCAAGGAAGAATTTGTTCCAAAATCGATAGAGCCTTGGTGAATGATCATTGGTTAATGGAGTTCCCTCATTCAAATGTCACTGTTATGGTGGAAGGGGTGTCTGATCACAGTCCTTTGGTGGTGCAACTGACAGAAGAGATACTGCAAAGGACGAAACCTTTTAAATATTACAATATGTGGCACCAATCTAAGGATTTTTTGAAAATAGTGGCAGAGGTATGGAGTAAACCTGTAGAGGGCACCTATATGTACCAGCGTATCAAGAAATTGAAGAACTTGAAACCTGTTTCGAAGAGATTGAATACAGACCAGTTTAATGACATACAACAGCATGTGGTAATGTTAAGGACAGAGTTCGAAGGTGTTCAAGCAGAATTGCAGAATAAGGGGACAGATATGGCACTGATAGAGTATGAAAGAAGACTTCATGAGGAATTGATGCAGAAGAGTAAGACGAATGTGAGTTTCCTGCAACAGAAAGCTAAGGAACTCTGGGTGAAACAAGGTGATTCGAATAATGCTTATTTCCATGCGAGACTTAGACTCAAGACCATGAGGAACATGATTAACTCCATTGTGGATGAACAGGGTGAAGTTATAACTGATTGGAATTCAGTTAGGGATCATTTCATCAAGTTTTTTCATGATCAGCTTGGCCAATGCAACACCAGGGAAAGCTCCCAAATGTCAATTTTTTAGAAAGGCACTGTTCCGAATTGGCAACAGCTACTGAGTCTATTAAAGAAGATTTCCAAAAAAGAAGCAAAGGAAGCTATAGGGGGTATCAACAGCAATAAAAGTCCAGGATTGGATTGTTTTCCAAGCGGCTTTTACAAAGTAGCTTGGTCAGTGATCGAGGAGGATTTCATCAGGGCAGTCTTGGAGTTCTTTGAGCATGGTCAACTGCTAAAGCAGGTAAATTCTATGATTCTAGCACTTATACCTAAAAATGATGCCCCACAGAATTCTTCGGAATACAGACCCATTGCATGTTGTAATGTGGTTTAAAAATGTATTTCGAAGATAGACTGAAAATAGTGTTGCATGAACTTGTTGAAAAAATCATAGTGCCTTTGTAAGTAATAGGTTAATTTTGCATAATTTATTACTTACTCAGGATTTGATTAGAATGTACGGCAGGAAAAGTATAAGCGGTAGGTGTATGTTGAAAATAGACTTGAAAAGAGCATATGATTCCGTAGAATGGGATTTTGTAGAAGAGATGTTAGTAGGGTATAGATTTCCTTCCTCTTTTATTCAGGAAGTGCAAGAAGGTGTTAGAACGCCTACGTATTCTTTAGCCCTGAATCGGAATTTTCTCGTGGGAAACGGGGATTGAGACAAGGGGACCCTATGTCTCCCCTTCTGTTTGTGCTTGTGATGGAGTATCTCACAGATTGCTGGCTGATGATGCAGAGGATAAGAAGTTTAAGTTCCATCCATAATGCAAGGGTTGCTTTGCAGATGATCTTATGATCTTCTGTAAAGCAGATGTTTATATGGTTTCAAAAATTATGTGTGCACTGGAAAGATTTGCAGGTACTACTGGTCTTGTGGCAAACAATGCTAAATCTGAGATCTTCTTTGGAGGAGTTTCAGAAGAGATTCAGATGCAGTTATGTCAGATTACTGGTTTCAGAAAGGGGAAATTCCCAGTGAAGTACTTAGGGGTACCCTTATCCCCTATGAAGTGGAATGCAGCTGACTGTGAAATGCTTGTCTAGAAAATTACAGCCAAAATTAGTTGTTGGAGTACTAAACACCTTAGCTACACTGGCAGATTACAGCTTGTAAATTCTGTCTTGTTGTGTATTAGTAACTTTTGGGCCTCTGTTTTCTTGCTGCCGCACAGGGTCACTCAACAGATAAACAGAATCTATAGGTGCTTCTTGTTGGGCATCAAAGAAAAGGGTAGGAGTATTGCATTGATTACTTGGGAGCAGGTTCGCAGACCAAAATAAGAAGGTGGACTTAGCATTCGTGATGTGCAAATTTGGAATGAAGCTGCCATAATCATGCAAATTTGGTGTATTGCAGCTAAGGCAGATAACTTATGGATCAAATGGATCCATGAGCACTATATAAAAGACCATATTTCTGGCAGCTTGCACCTAAACAGAGTTCCCCTTGGCATTGGAGGAAGATCCTGGCTGTGAAAGACTTAGTGAAGAATGAATTTGAGGGGATAAAGTGGAGGTACACTGGCTCTGGTAAGTATAGTCTCACTTCTGGGTATAACTGGCTGATAGGAGGAAAAGATAGAATGTCTGCTGCTAAGTTTATTTGGGAAAGATGTAATGTGCCAAAGCATTGTTTCATTGTATGGCTGTTTTGGCATAATAGACTACTTATGAAAGATAGATTGTTCAAAAGGAATGTGTTGAAGGATAGTCTAGACTGTGTACTCTGTAAAAGCCAGATGGAAACAGCAAAACACTTGTTTTTTGAGTGTAAACAGGCTGCTGATATATTATTGGAGATTGGCAGATGGTTGAAGGTGCCAATACAGTCAGGTGATCAGGCATGGTGGAGAGTTATGCTGCTGAAATGGTGTAAAAACCACAAGCTAAGAAGGAGGATTGTGTATGCCTCAATAGCTGCAACTATTTACTATTTATGGGAGGAGCGGAATCAAAGGCTATTCTCGGGCAAGGAAAGGACCACTGAAGTTTTATTGAAGCAAAACAGGAAGTTCTTTGGAGGGTTGATCTTTGTAAGGGTGATAGGAAACTATTAGAAGATTTGTTCCCATTAGTTTTCTTTTTTTTTTTTTTTTTTTTTGGATCAATGTTCCCATTAGTTTGATGTATATAGTAGTTTCTTTGGTGTAAATATGAACTTTTCATGGTAATCAATACATATTTACGTTTTACCAAAAAAACTTAGGGAGATTTTACTGTATTTTCCAAAATTGATTCATTTCAAAATATTTCAGTGTCCGACATCATCAAATCTCAGGTCCTAAATCCCAATGTGCATCGACAACTGGTTCGTGTTTTCATGGAAGCGGAGAAAGCAAAATTACAAGGGAAAATTTGGATTAGAGGTAATAGAAATGGTCAAATTAATAAAAGGAGTATGACCATCAAACAATTTTTATTAAGGGCAGAAAATTTTTATCCAAAAATCATAACATTAAAATACTCTTGCTCTTACATAATTATCCTTACTGTTTTTTCCACACAAACAAAAAAAGAAGAAACTGCAATAGGTTTCTTACAACACAAATACAAGCGTAATCGAAAAAAAAAATTTAAGAACCAAATTAAATTCGTCTCCTTGAAGTCTTCATTAGCAATCACCTAAAGAGCAAAAGTATGTATCAACAATCTCAATGTATATTCTAACTTTCTAATCAATTCGGTTATTTGAGTAACAAGAAGATGGAAGAAAGAATAAAGTAACAAAGCGAAATCTATCTCTACAAAGAAAATACTACGCATTAAATCAAGGAATGGAGAAGCTAGCTAATCATGGGAACATCATTGGTTGGTCCGCCAACGAATTCATCATATATATGCCCAGATGGATCCTCCCGGAGGAATGAACGGAAACTGGGTGTGCGGCGCCGCAAACTCGTAAGCGGAACCATGATATTGTGCCGGGATTTTGTAATCATGTCCTCTTGCCATCATTTGTTCACTTGCTTTGGCTGTTTCTTCTTGTGCCTCTGCTTCTTTTCTCTCTGTCTGCATCTTTTTCTCCTATATATAAGATCAAAGAAGGAATAAGAACCGATAAGAAAAACCCTAAATGCAATTACCGCAGAGAATCAGGATTATGTTACAAAGGAGGGCCCCAGAATCGTTAATCGAACCATAAACACAGTGATTTTGGACTTCTTTGACAATTGAAGACAGATGCATGCAAAAAAAATAAAAATAAAAAGAAACATAGATTTAGAAATAGAGCACACAAGGGAACTGACTCGCGCTTATAGGTACACGACATTACATGTTCACCAAAAAAAAAAACGACCATTACATACACTTTGATTTCAAGATCTGAAAAATAGACAACACAAAAAAAAAAAAACAATGTTTAATAAAGTGAACTATAGATCCTGATAAACTCACAATTTTTTAATTGATCAAGACCTAAAATTTTCATATCTATAATGATTCTTAAAAGAAAACAATTTCCAATCGTGTTGGGAAACTATTATTACTAATAGTGAAAAAGACAAAAACCATTGAAATAAACAAAAGTGAACGGGAATAAAAATAAAAACAACAAGAAGAAGGTAGAAAAAAAGTGTACCTCAATTGTAACGTTTCCACATGATGAAGCCTTGGCGTCTCGACTAGGGTTGAGTAACCCTAAAATTCAAGATGAAGAATTAGAGAATTTAAGAAGCTTAACTCTATGTATTCTTGGTGGGGCGGTGTATTCTCTCTACATTTCATCCTTGCAAGGGCTATTAATTTATACACCAAAATTTCATAGGTTAAGGAATGAACGTAGTTTTAGCAAATCAATTTTTACGCAAGGAAATAATCAAAGTACGCGTCATACAACGATCGTTCAATAAAAAGGATTGGTAGTTGAACTTCTCATTCCAAAAATATATAAACCCACATTATTGCCTGTGACACTACCTAAAATGATGACAAGTGTCTTATTACCTTAACACAACTCTAACCAAATCAAACTCTGGTTATTTATTTAATTAATTAGTACTTAATTTACCCATTTCAGAAAGGGGAAAAAAAACCCCTCCCCTCCCCTCCCGCCGGTGTCGTCACTCCTCCAATTTTCCGCCGATCAAGCGTTTCTCCAGAGATCTGTCTATGGAAGAGGATTATGTCTGTGATTGTTTTATATGGATACCTTTTTTTAATTTTAATATAATAAGTTTCAAAAGTGGAGCATTAACATGGACGGAAAAATTAATGAGAATTTGAGTTCTCATTTCAAACCATTTACATCGGTGGAGTTGTGGTGGCGTTGTGGCTGCGTATCTCATTATTCATCAGTTTTGCGACAAATAGTGATTTGCCATATTGATTTGGGTACAAAACCAATAAAAAAATCACTAGCCTCATCATCACTATCATCGGCCATAATTGATGAAATACACATAAAAAATAATTGATTTCTATGTTCTCTCAACAAAAAGGGAATAGCCCACCGTCAGAGTTTCAATCCACAAAATAAAAACCCCATTATTTTTTAAACAATAGAGGCTCCACTTTTAAATCTTATTAAAAGAAATGATTCTTTCCCATGGATAGGATTTATAGGAGCGAACGGTTGATCGGCGGAAAACGGAGGAGCGATGTTGCCGGTGGGTGAGTAGTGACCGAAGATTGACAGTTTTATTTTTATTTTTATTTTTGTTTATTCTGAAAATTGGTATTTGTTTGTAAAGTTATATTAGGAAATTACTTAATTAGACAAAGTAACCAGAGTTTTCTTTAGTTAGGAGTGCGTTAACTTGATGGACACTTTGTTATCTTTTTAAGCAGTGTCACAGAGAGTGTTACACAAGTTGGACACTTTGTTATCTTTTTAAGCAGTGTCATAGAGAGTGTTACACAAATGTATCACAAAAAACCCAAAGCCGACTCTATTTATTCTTTAAATTAACGCAACCGCAACATGTAAGATCCACGAGATATCTAAAGATTAATTGTTTGATAAAATCCTAACTCTATTCTGCTTTGAATTAAGGTTATTTTATTTAATGTATTTGTTGA